TGAAAGATGTTTATAACAAACAGTTACACAATTATCATTGTGTTCAACTTGTATTCCCCCCCTTAAAACATTTAGAACAGTTAAAAGATTCATTGCGGGGTATGAACTCACCTGATGTGGGTGATTCAAACGGGAATGCTTGTAAGGATGAGAAGTTCCACGAATGAAGTACCGAGATACAACAAGTCCTAAATGACATATATTGACATAAATATAGTGCTTGGAAGCAACCAAATGCAAGGAAACACCTCACGGGACTAGGAAACACTTTGACAAAGTGTTGGAATCACATGTGATTCAAACTAAGGGGGTGTACGGCCACTTTGAGGAGTGTGCGTCCATGGGTGTGCGGCCAGGGGAGTGTGCGGCTGCACACTCATGGTAAAGAGTGCACAAAACGTTTTCCAAATGGTAGGGAGGCTTGTAGGACCGATGCTCATCAAGTGTTGAAGCTAGAAAGGCACTTTGGAGGCCCTAAAACACTAAACAAAGGGGTGTACGGCCACATGGAGTGTGTGCGGCCGCACACTCCTTGATGAACATGGTTTGGACGTTTTCTAAGGCTCATATCTAGTTAGTAACAAGCTTAGGGAATGGTACTTACAATATGGAAGCCTTTAGGGGTGTTTGAAGGGTGTTTTGAGGGTGTTTGAGGGGTGTACGGCCACAACTGTGTGTACGGCCGCACACACCATATGTTCTTGAGTTATGGGCAGTTTCAAGGCTTTAAACAAGTGTTCTTAACAAGTTCTAAGCTTAACGAAAGAGTACTCACGATCCGGAGGCTCGAGAAGGTCCAAAATCGCCAAGAACAAGTGTGTTCTTGGTGAAATGGATGAAGATTTGAAGATCTAGCCAAAACATGATTTCAAATGGATGAAATCAAAGGTTGTAACTAGTTTATGAAGATTAACAACAAACCAAAGGAAGAACACTTACATTCTTGAAGATTTAAGCTGAAAATCGGATGGTAGTTGAGAGCAAAATCGAGTTTTTGGCTTGGGAGGGTGAAAAAGGATTAAAGGAGGCTGAGTCTACCCTTTGTACACATGAGTGTGCTGCCAGGAGAGGGGTGTGCGGCCGCACACCCATGTGTGCGGCCGTACACTCCTTGTGTTGGAGTGTAAGGCCCGGTTTTGATGCTAGAAGTGTACGCGATCCATTCCTATGTTCAATGCTTGAATGTACTGACCTTTGGACCTTTAAATGGACTCTAAACAAGACTAAATGATAGCAGAAATGAGTTTGACACTCAGTCGAGTTGGCTAGCGGAGCTTTACCAGGCAAGTTTTAAAATTTTTCGGGTTGTCACATTAGGACTATACTTCTATCGTTTTTATAGGAGGTATTATCAATTTCTTGAATAGAGTTACAATTCGTGCTTTCCAAACATAACAAAATACAACATTTGTTAAAGCTGATAGACGCCACGGGAACTCACCAATAAGTTGATGGATTTGGATCCTATTTCAAATAATGCAAATTTTGTTTTTCAGTTTCTATGACATAGAGACATGAATATCTTCCTTTTAAAGTGGTGTCATCCACCCAAATGTCCTTCCAGAAACACGGCTTAGAATCGTTTCCAATTTTCCTTTTAAAGAGACATAGAAGACTAACTCCCATATTTGAAAAGTACACTTCAATAGAAGCAAAATTAAACTAAGTTCCAAGGACAGTTTTTTGGCCATTGGTCTATTGTTGTGTCCAAAGATGTTATAAATTGCCCGAATCATGAATAGTTCTTGCCCAATAGAATGACTGTTTGATTTAGGCATTTAGTCACCCACGACCGTTTAGCTAAGGGTCCTACTTTGGACACACCAATCTACAATACCAACCTACATTATTAGGTTTACTTTTTAGGTTTTTTTTTTGAAAAAGCCGAAAATTTTATTAAGCACCCCAAGTAACGAGAAGCTAAAATGGGGGCCAGAGAACAAAAGAAACAGTACAAAACAAAATACAATTTAAAAAGAGAGATATGGGGAAATAACCCATTCTTCCCACATACCACAATTTCCCATACCCCTACATTTCACCCATAAAAATACTAAGGACTTAATGTTCTCCACAACTCGAGAAGGCGCAGTAAACATCCCTTTAAAAATTCGTTCGTTCCTAGCTCTCCAAAGGCACCATATGAGACCATAGCATATCGCCTTGAACCTCTCTTTTCTCTTTCCGTCCCTCCCCCAATTCTCAACAAATTGGATCAAATCACCTACCGTTTCAATGTGGGGGCTAGTAATGTTGCACCATTGGAAAATTGATTTTCTCACCATAGTTGCATAAGGACACTTAATCAGAAGGTGGTCACAACTTTCAGCTTCGCCAATACACGAGCTACAGTAAGTAGAACTTATCTCCAAACCCCTACGACTGAGTTCTGATGCCGTAGGAATCCTCCCCATGTTGGCTCTCCAAATAAAAGTAGACACCTTAATCGGGACAGTTTTTTCCCAACTAATTCTCGGCTAATTTGCAATTCTGATTGTTTTGTTTTCAATGCTGCTTCTCATTAGACTCACTGTATATTCCCCATCAGGTGCAAGAATACACCGAAACTGATCCTCTCCAATGCTAATAGTTGTGTTAGCAATATCCTCCATTAAATGATTATACTCCCTTTCCAATCCAACGATACTAGGACGGGCGTACCATCTACCTGTAAAACAGTTATCTCCAATGCGCTCAGCTACTGTACACGACTTTTTCATCTCCATGCCGTATAGGCTCGGGTATTTTTCTTTAAGAGTGATGTTCTCCACCCAACAATCTCTCCAGAATTGCATTTCATTTCTAGACTTCACAGTTCTTTAAAAATATCGCTGAACTTGATATCCATTTCTTCAATATCGTTTTTTGCATTTGCAATGTTACCCCATACTCCAGCGATTTTCTTTTTGTGTAAATATGCCATTGGTTTGTTTCTGAGATTATGAATCCCACTAATAACCTTAACCCAAAGTGATTCTGGTTCTTTTTTCAGGCGCCACCACCACTTAATCAACAGAGCTATATTTAGAGATCTGATCGAACTGACCCCCACCCCCCCTTGCGCCTTTGGTGAGGTGATCTTATCCCATGTCACCCAACTGATTTTCCTGCTATCTTCCGCTCCTCCCCACAGGAATCTTCGTCGTATCTTTTCCAGGGATTCCGTAATTCCCTTAGGGGCCCTAAATATCGACAAAAAATAGGTTGGTAAATTCCCAAGGACAGCTTTAATAAGTGTAAGGCGACCTCCAAATGATAAGGTTCTGGACTTCCACCTAGAGAGTTTTGACTGGAATTTTTCTAAAATCGACTTCCAATATTTAGCTTGGTTCATATTTACCCCAATTGGAACCCCAAGATAGTTAAATGGCATAGATCCCACCTCACAACCCAAGATACTTGCCCATTGTGATGTTTCAGTCTCCGAAGCACCAATGCCAAATACTTTTGACTTATTGAAATTTACCTTTAGCCCCGATGACACATGGAAGCATTTGAGGATTCGTGCAAGATTTTTAAGGTTGACTTTCGACCACTCGTCCAAAAATACTGCATCATCTACATAGAATAAGTGGGACAGTACTGTACCATTCCCTGGGATTTGGATACCCTGAAAAATTCCTTTTTCAATCGCCGATTTAAGAGCTGCATTTAATCCTTCCATAGCTATAATGAATAGCAATGGTGAGAGGGGATCTCCTTGCCTAACCCCTTTCCATATAGAAAATTCTGCAGTAGGTGATCCGTTAACCAGTACCGAAGCACGAGCCGATAGTAGACAACCCCTTATCCACGATCTCCATTTATTCCCGAATCCCATTTGTGACATTACCGAGTCCATGTACTCCCAATTGATGGAGTCGAACGCCTTATCAAAGTCTACTTTAAATAACAAAATTTTCTTTTTGGTACTCTTCGCCTAGGCACATAATTCATTGACAATAAGAGGTCCATCCAGTATATTACGCCCCTCTACGTAAGCAGATTGGACTTCCCCTACTACTTTCCCCACGACTGACTTGAGTCTAATTGCAAGGATTTTAGATATTATTTTACTCATGCAACCAATAAGGCTTATTGGTCTGTATTCACTGAGAAGGGTTGGGTCTTTCACTTTGGGAGCCAAGGTGATGAAAGAGGAGTTGCACGACCTTGCGATTGATCATTAGCTGAACTGTCCTCTTGTGCATCGTGTTGAGCATTTACCCCTTGCGTCTCTACCAGATTCAAATTCAGGTCGAGATTTGGGACTCCACCATGTTCATCGTTTGACTCCATATTTCCGTCTTCCTGCCCTATTTTTCTTTTTTTTGCTGATGGACACCCGTTACAAGGATCCGGATAGGAAGTTGGGTTATTCAGGGATAACGCATCATCACTCATGGGCTTTTCATTATGCGGATTAGGAAAAGGCCCAAAGCAGCCTGATCTAACCAGAGGCCCAAATTGACAAGACTCATGTACCACATCCTCCTCCACATTCTGTGTCCCCACCATCACGTTGACTTCTACCCCCTGATCCATATGAGTAATTCTCAAGTTCTCCTTATCAGACCTAACAACGTTATTCCCATTAGGAAGTTCAACTGTTTCCCCATTTAACTGAACTGTCTCCTCGATGTTGTTATCATTTAATGCATCATTATTAGGGCTCGTCATCTTCTTCGTCGGGGAATCGGCGACGGTCGGACCCTTGGTCACCGACGGTGACAATTCCATCACAATATCATTAATCCGGCTCCCGTTTGGGTCAGGAATTATCTCCCCTTCTTCCATGTCATTGTTGTCGTCTTCCATATACGTCTCTGATACCCCATCTTCATCTTCCTCCTCTTCTTCATCAACCAAATCATTGTACCCCTCATCCTCCGATTCCTCTTCTACTTTATCGAATGGAACTGGGTGAAACGGCGACTAGTCATCAGTGTATTCCACCACACCAACCTTGTACATCTTTCCATCTGCTAGAACATTTACTTCCTCATTGATCCATTTACGTTGGGAGGTTAGTATCCCGACTTTGCCCATGGAATAGTCTCTCCTGGTAGCGACATTGTCAAAAGGAGCAATGACCTTACCGAATTTCATTACAATCTTTGAAAATTTTTCCTCGTCAAATAGTCTGAGAGGCAATCCCAGGATCTTTAGCCAGGCAGTTCTTTCATAAGGGAGGTCGTACTGGTCAGCACGCATTAACCATTTGAACCAATCTTGCCATTTTGTCTTATCTTCTAGGAACTCTTTTGCAGCCGTTGAGTCACCAAATCCCAGTGCTAAGTTCAGTCCTCCCAAATACTTGGTCTTCTCGTTCATCAGTATAGAGGCCGTAAGACTCCCAATATGGTCGAGGCTATGAGCCTCACCAATCAAGGTCTTCTTTTTCATCCATTCGCTAATCGATGTATTTGAGTTTAGTGTTATTACCTGAGTCCCAGAATGAGAGGTTGGCAGTGAGTTTTCCTTTGGGTCGTCTCCTATACCAGTCACCTGGGCATACGTCCTTCCATCTCTCAATTCATGTGCCTTTCTTGGTGCCACCTGTACTGTTCCGTTTACAGTAGGTCTTCCTAGAGGAGTTTTGTTCAATGGTTTTCGTGGATGCTTTGCTAGATTTATTCTCAATGTCGCCTTTCTACACTTAATCCCTTGCATACCCTGTTCCAGTCCTAATTCGTCTTGTATCCCTTTGAATCTCACAAACGCGAACTTAGAACTTTTGTTGTGTCATCTACCACCAATGAATACGTCAACTACATTACCGAATCCTGCAAATAACTTCCATAGTTCGGTCTTAGTTGTTTCTCCTGGGAATCCATCCACAAAGACATTAGTTATCGGGTCTGCAGTCCATCTTCTTCTCTCTGATTTCTTTCGTCGGACCTCTATCCACTCACCGTTTCGTCTTCCATCCATCGCCAATGTACTTTTTGAATTTCTCTACTTTTTAGGTGAATGATGGCAAGTGACCTTTTAAACACTCCTAATAAATATCGTAATCAAAGTGAACAATTTTTGTATTGAAACTGCCGCTCATTATTTCATTTCTATTAACTTTGTAATCATTTATTTTATTATTTTAATAAGCTTAATATAAATTACATGAAATTTTATTTTTTTCCTTTTTTTTCTTAAATCAATTATCTCTATTTCTAAACTATATTATGATTTATTTTTGCTCGGATATATAAGTGGTAAGAGCTGAAACTTTTGGAGGCGATGAAATAGTAAAAGATAATTGTTGGATAAACACCTATAACTAAAAACTAAAAAAGTAATTTGTATATCGTGTATTTATTTATCCAAAACATATTTGGTGGCGATAAAATATTAAAAAACTTGTTGGGCAAATAAATAATATCAAACCAACTCGATTAGGTGATAATCTTTTTTTCTGAGTTATCTAATTTTTGAAAACCATATTACTATTCTATAATAAAATTTCCTTTATTTATTTATTTATTTGTTTTTAGTTTTTATTGCTTAGAAATCTACTTTTATTGTTTATAAATCATATATATTTCATGTTATTAGCTGCATGTTTTTTTAAGTTCAAGCGGCTCCCAAAT